GATATAGGATAAAATACGACATTCAATCTATAACATGCAAGAATTTATTGTAAAATTCAAATCAGTTATTTAAAGGCTGGATTCGGGTGTAAATAACCTTTATTATATTTCTTACATTCATTTACAAGCAAAATTGATTATTTCTTGAAATTTGAAAAGAAGATTGGTCTTTTCAATTCTTTAAAACTAAAAAAAATCTGAACTAAATATTTGTTCTTATAGAATATATACGTTTAGCCAACGAACCAATAAATAATTCAATATTTTATAAGCTTCTATCTTTATTAAAAAAATATTTATGATATTGTAAAAGTCATATGTTTAGAAAAAAGTACAACATTAATATACAAAAAGCAAGGCAAGTATTGCGGAGTAAGCATAAAAAAGGCATTGACAAAGAAACAAGGGTTATTTTAAATATTTTTAAAATTCTCACCTGGTATTCTAAATCTAAAGGTCATCTACGCTAAGCACAAATAGTTAGTAAACTTCGATTAGATTTTTTTACACAATAAACATACAGGAACAATATCATATTTAAATAAAAACTTATCTAGTGATGAAGCATTGAAAGTTGAAAATTCAGTGTAAATTAATTGGTGGAAAAAAGAAGCGAAAATATGACATTTTTAAAAATTAAAATTATTAAAATAAACCTGCAATAAATTTTTAGAGTTAATGAAATACGCTTATATTCTCTATATATTACTTTAAATCTAATTCGTTATAATATATAGTAAATAAAATATGAGTTAATGTTGTTTTAAGTATGCTCGAGGAATAGAATTTAGTTATAATATTTTAAAAATACATTCAAAATGTTTAATGGGAAAATATTTTTGTCTAAGTCTAATGTTATAGTTGGTTTTCCACAAATTATATTTTTTTTATAGGCTGGTAACACCATCATGAGAAAAATCTTTATTTGGATTTCAAAGTATTTTAAAACTTCTGAAATTAAGCAATAAAAAAGACGAATCAGGCAAATTTTTATAATTTTATCTGGGTCTAATGAAATGCATGTAATTATACTTGAATTTAATATTTAAAAGGTAAGTTTTTAACCAATGTAAATTCACCTACTATATATTTTCAATGAAATATAGCAGTATTGTTTACTTTTAAAATATCTAAAGATATTGTATAGCAGTTGAGGGATTGTTTTCAGAACCTTTATTTTTTGCCGTCTTTTACGAAAATTTAAAATATTTATTATTAAAATATTTCTTGAAAAAGTGCAATACAAAGTTTATAAGATTAAGAAACATAAAAGAAAATTTCCGATCTTTACTCTATATAGAGAGATTAAAAAATATTTTTTTTGATTTGATAGTGAAAAAAAGAAAAGTAATTATGAATTTAAAATATTTCTCCCTAATTTCATTATTCATGTAATCATTTGAGACAATACAATATTATTTTCTTCTATTCTAGTATATATCAGACCAATAAGATTTTGGAGATCTTCTTATAGATAAAACAGAAACAAAAAAAGTATTTAAATCAGGGTTTCTCTTAGAACCGAAAAAACGATAGAAATATATTGAATTTATCGTTTCTAAATAATTTTTAAAAATTAAATTTTGATTTTAAACACTCATTAACTTCCAAATAATATATTTTAATATTTAAAAACACCAAATTTACAAACTTCTGGAACTAAAAAGAACCAAAATATTATTAATAATGAATGAAATTTTCAAATTTTACTGTAAATAATGTTTAAAATTTACTAAAAAAACTAAAAAAAACGCAAATTTTTTGTATAATTTTTTACTCGTCATAAAGTGTCATATCGTTATTACTTTCAAATATGCATTCTCCCGTACAACTTACAAGTGACTTGCAGTACATATCATGAGAAGGTAGAACAGTAACACTTTCTTGATTATATATGTGTTTACTAACTACTAATTGTTTATTATTACAATTATATATATTATTAGATTTATTAGATTTATTATCATCAAAGTAATCTACCAATCCTTTAATAAGATATTCACATCTCTTATTAAATGAACCGTGTATAATTTTAATATTATCAGTATAAACTGTACTATTAACATATTTAAGTGTAGATGGCCATACCTGTGTATTGAATTGGTGTAAAGAATAAGAATAAAGCTTATTATAATAAAGTGTATCGCGAGTTATTCTGATAGATAAGGCTTTACTTTTACAAATAGAAAGGCGAATATTTAATATTTTTAAATCTGAAAATTTATGAAGGTGGGTGTTATTTGTATGTAGTATGTTTAAAGAGGTGTTATTACCATCATTGTTATTTAAAGGGATGTTATCATTACTATTTTTATCACCCTTTATTCCCATGGATTTTAATAAATTTTCAAAGTTTAAATTCCTAGTAAATAACCCATTCTTATTATTTGAAGAGTGAAAAGAATAAAGAGTTTTATACTTGTTAGGTATGTAAGTAACAGTGTTATTCTTACAATAAGGATTTAACAAGTCTGTATTAAAATGAATAGGAGATAATACTTGATAAGCGTAAATACCTTCTATTACTATAACAATAGGATATGTATTAGGAATATATGTAGGACCAGTAGATTGTTCAGTTATAAATGAGTAATTATATATTGGAATGTAAGGGTTATTTGTTGTTAAGGCATAAAGGGTTTTATGTACGTTTAACCAGTCAATAGCCGAAGGGTTATCAAAATCGTATGTATTAGTATTAACACCCTTATAATTACTAGTATTATTGTTAACACCCTTATAATTACTAGTACTAATATTAACACCCTTTAAATCACCACTATATCTATTAACACCCTTAAATTCACTAATGTTGATATTAACACCCTCTAAGTTACTACCCTCATTCATAACACCCTTTATATCCTCGTTAGATTTACTCAGACTCTTATAATATTGGTCAAGATGTATAACATAAACAGATATATTGTGTTGTTCAAGGGTATTCTTAATATTTAAAGCAAGTGTAGATTTACCCGATGCACTACATCCTTGAATACAAACAATATATTTGTTTTGAGATGTAAAAGTGCTATATTGCTGTTTGATAATTTTAGTAAGTTTATGAAATGTTTCTCTGTTATTTGACCGATGTAGAGTCATAAGGAGGGTAATGTAGGGAAGGATGTAATTTATAGGATTAGAAGATAATAAAGGGGGGGTTGTTGAAAGGAAAAGGATGATATTTAATATGAATAATTGATCAGAAAAAGGAGATTTGATTTTTCAATTTCACATGATTTGTTCTATGCTAAGTATTTTTTTTTATCAAAGATTTTTAAAATTTGATTGGATTGCAATTGTTTGAAGGTTCTGTTTATTGATAGGTTTTTTTAGTCACAGGTATACGTGTTGATACATTATCTTTTAAATATGCATTGTAAACGTAGTAAAGAATATAGTTGTTTTAAGTGTGACTTGGTTTGTAGTTTTTCGTTGATATTTTCTTGAGACATGACTTTCTATTTATAATTATATTTTATGAAAAAAATGCTTTTTTATAGATGAATTAGTTTATATTTTTTTAAGATTGATTTCTTGAGCCATAATTTTCTATTTTTAATTGTATTATTTGATTGTCTTAATACTGATTTCCTTTATCCTTCAAATAATATGTAATTAATTTTTTTGTACTATGATTGGATGATAATTTGTCATAAAATATATATTATATATATTGCTAAAATATTACATAATGCTATCAAATAAGAAATTATCTCGACGCTACACTTATAAAATATACTTATTATATTTAATTCTCTTAATAAGTCATAAGTTATAAGATTTGTAATTTGATACAAATATTAAAAATAAACTTATTAGATAACCCTTGTATAGGGCGTTATATAACTAAAATTTTATGGAAAAATATATAAAGGCTATCTTGCTTGATATTATCTATCAGTTTTTATTCTGGTGTCCACTCTTATTTCTGCATACTCATTTTATAAATTATATTTGAGAATACACTGACTCATAATTCGTTTTGAAGACTTAAATTTATATTTATTTTGAAAAGTAGGTTTATTAACCAAAAAAATTTCATTATAGAATTTATTAAAAAAATAATCATGTCTTGTAGATCAAACTTAATTAATAATTTTAGAGACAATTATATCAAAATATCTATTTTTTAAAGGAACAAATTCAAAAATTATATATTTGGTGAATAATACTATATTCTTAAAAATTTGTTCCTTTAACAATTCAACTGCATTAAAAATCAGTAAATTTACAATATTAAGTACTATGTGTAATTTTATAATTTCGATCTCAGTAAAAAAAAATCTTTTTTTTTAGTTTAAATAACTTAAAATTTAATGTAAATTGAAACTCAAATCTAATTATTATTTCATACATGAAAATAATTATTGCTGTTCGCACTTTTTATATTAAATCAAAATAATTTAAAAACGTTATGTTATTATTTCTAAACTAAGAGAATACACTTCATTTCAAGCTTAAATTCAAATCAAAACATGTCCTCTGTACAAAATACGTTGCGTGGACATGCCCAAGTGTTTTCTATTACGTCAAGTGATAAATTATAAATGTGGAAGGAGGATAACCACATTAAAAACTTCCTGTTTAGTAATGAACGTCTAAAATACGTATTAAAATTATTGCTGCCGTTTTTGTGAGATATAAACCACACCGAATCTATAGGCCAATCCCCTATAATCCCGTGTTACAACTGATTAAAAGAAACAGATGGAAAACATTCATTTGTTCATCTTCGACACTGAGAGGTAAAAGAGGAACGGAATAGGCAAGTAATTAATTATAAGGGTAGGGTAGAATAAAAAATATTAAAATTATTTTTAATCAAACCTTGTGAAATTTATATCTAAAAAAGTAAATTTTCAAATCAATTTTTAAATAAAAGATTTGGCTAGAAGTATCTATGTTATAATGTAAATAAAGTATAAAAATTCTAAAATAAAAAAGGAGATATTCACATTGTAACTAGAAAAATTTATGTTGAAGGTAATAATAAAAAGTGACCAGGACAGGATTTGAACCTACAACCTATCGATCTGGAATCGAGTGCGCTACCGTTGCGCCACCTGGTCTTAAAATTCTCTATTATGCTTTTAAAATAGAAATCAGAAAAATAGCTCAAAATTTATACATTTAATATTTACTTGGTTCTCTTTCAATAAAAGATTAACTTATATTGTTTTTACTTCCACTTGAGATTTATATTACAACCAGTTTTAACTTTCATTTTATGTTTGGATCTATTTACAATAATTTTTAATCGTAAAGATAAAAATTTGTCTCAACAACTTTTATGTCTCTTTATAATGTTTTTTTTAGAATTTAATTCTTCATTCTAATTAGAATTTCTAATTTGTTGACTAATTTCAGAAACTCTTTATAAAAATCTCTATATAATTATATTCTTTTTGTTAGTGGAGGGAGGATAACCACATAAAAAACTTTCTGCTTGGCAATTAGTGTGTGAAACTGGTGTAAATATCATTTTTTGGATTTTTGGTCGGAATACAACCATACAAACTCTTTGGTTGTTCTTTGGGAGTTGTTATGAGGAGGAGAGGTCTACGAAATGGCAAAACCTTTTCTACAAATTTATTTGTAGTTTTTTACGTAACCAGATTGCAGACTGTAGCTAAAATTGTAGGTAATTGCCATGTAAAAGCATGGAAACCGAGTCTTGCTCACTCGGGTTAGAAAACTTAGCGCCTGGGAGATACAAAGCAAAAAACCATTTAAAGCCAGGAGAGCTAAGTAGCAGGTTATACCTGTTGGTATGACATTGCACTGTCTAGGTAGACCTCATGTAACTCTCTGAAATATATCTTAGCTAGAAGTTTATTGGGTTCGGAAAATGTAGAGTAAGTGGGAATCCTGCATAGTCTTGGGGGAGCCCAGGGGGGCTTCGATCACACTCCATGCAACGAACATTAACTAACTCAGGGTAACTGCCTCGCCTATTAATAAGGTTCTACACACCTGGTAGATGAAAGGCTTTGGGACGTAGGTATCGCAGGGGTTACCGATCGATTTTTGGAGTAGCAGTTATTTATGTTAAACCTAGAATTGGGTTAATGCATGAAAACAAATATAACACTTGACACTATTTTAAAAAAGATGTGATATTTTAAAATAAAAAGAAATATTCTTTTTGTTAAAAATAATCAAAAACTCTTAACATTTTTGCTAAAAGTTTATATTAATTTAAAAAAAAATTAGAACTTTCTAGTATCAAAGTAGGAAATTTAAGGACTATCAAGTTATAAAGGCATTCAGATAACTTTTTCTGTGATGTATTTCTAACAGACTTAATATAAAATTGATTGAATTATTTTTTATTCTAAAAGCCTCGATAAAATGATTGAAAAAGATTTTAAGTTTACTTTGAAGGCTCTATTTTAGTTAAATATTGGTTGGGGTGTAATTGTCTGTTATACGATTTTTTCTAAGTATTTTAAAATTTGTATCCATTGAATGTAATTCTATTTTCTATTGGAATATATACTAGTTTATAATTTGAAGTTGTTGCTGTTTTAATATGTATAAATATTTTTTTTGTAAATAAAAGTGATAAATCTATATTTTTATAGCAAAATATGATAAAGCCTGCGTTCCAAATCAATTTTAGAAAATATAATCTTCATATATTTTTATAAAATATACATAATCTGATTTAGTACAATTAAATTTAATTTATACAAGCAATATAGTTACTTTGAAATATGAATTAAGGATACAAGAAAATCTTTAAATGTTCGTTTATATTTATTAGTGTTTATTACGTCTGATTTATATTATTGTTTAATTCATAAGTAAATATAATTAAAAATACAGAAAGAAACGAAGACGAGTATTAAAGATTTAAATAATTATATAATGCATCGAATAAAGAGTAAAAAAGAAGGCACAGTATATTTAAATTAAAATTTTGAAAATAAGTTTCTGTCTTACGGATTCATCTTTGAAAAAAATATTTATTTGTAAAACATTTTTTTGTATATTTTCATTCGATAATTCATAATGCATAAGTTTCTCAAGATCAATTTAATATTTTAAATAAAATATTGCCAAATATATTTGGGTAAAATTTTATTGGCTATTTGATCTTTTTTTTCAACTCTATAACTTGATTTAATCCTGTTTTTTAAGAAGATTTAGAATAGAAAGTGAAAGAAAATTACTTGCAACTCTTTTAAAATAATAAATAATTTTTAAAGTAAAAAATGAAATTGAAATCCACTGAGCAGAAACATGAGAAGTTTGAAATAAGAAAATAAAATAAAATTTAAAAGAAATGATTTTAAACAAATATAATAAATAAAAAACTCACAAAAATTAAAAATTTGAATTTTTATAAATATATTTTAATTTATCCTCATATAAAATGATTAAAATATACTTTAATTGCGTTTACTTTTACCCTTTTATGATTTTGAAAACAATTAAGAACAATCTTCTTCTATTTTTTATTCTTTACAGACTTAACAATTCATTTCTTCTCAAAACAGTATTTGAACCGGATGAAATATGGCAGAACCTTGAACCTATAAATTATATTTTTTATACTAAAGGAACACTTACATGGGATTGGATGATTGGTATAAGATCGGTTAATTATGTTCTTGTATATCTTATACCACTTTACTTTTTTAAGATATTTAGCGATGTTTTTAGATTTTGTTGTCTGTTTTATATACGGAATAATTTTAATATTTTTTTGTTTTTGAATTTTATATTTCTTTGTCTTTTATGTTGTTTTACTGTGGTTTTATGTTTTTTTAAATTAACTGATTCTGGTAGGTTTCTTACTAACGAAAAGACCAAAAATAGAAATCAAATTATTAATTGTCCTGAAGATGATGTTGCTTTAAAATGTATGGGGAAAAAAGAGGTTTTAAAAAGAAGGAAAACAAATTTTAGAAATAACAATCTCGAAAGATTTGGTTTAAGACAGATTATAGGATTTTTAAGCCATCCAAATATATTAAATAATTTATATTTGGTTGTTTTGGTGATATTGGAGTCGAAATATCAGTTTTTTGATGAAATGGTAGTCAAATATACAATCTTACCTTTGTATGGTAAATATGGATACTTGGTTTCTAAAATAGTAAATGGAATAATCGCAGGGTTGGCAGATTATCTTATAATAAAACTCGGAACTATTTATAAAGCAGACGAGGATACACTTATCTATGTTACTGCGCTTTCACATGGATTGTGGTTATATTCCCCTCGATCTCATATAAACTCTTTTGAACTTTTTATGGCTGTATTGTGTTTATATGCTCTAGAAACATTTAAAACACCTACAATTTCTCTTTTGTGTTTGTGTTTTACTTTCTATTTACGTTCAAGTATTTTATTTTTGAGTGGTGTTCATATTTTTTTTGCCGTTTTCCAAAAAAATTATTCATCAATCGAAGATGATAAAATGAGAAAGAATAAAAAGAATCTTCCAGAATGTAATAATTTACAACAGGAAAAATTAGAATGTAATGAAACAAATAATAATGATTGCAACCAGTCAAAAGATAGAACAGAAAATGTAAATCCAGTAACTTGCTCTAAATTGCATAGCATAGTTAGTTATTTGAAGCTTGTGAAGGTATGTTGTATTTGTCTTAATATAATACGTATGATTAAGAATAAATTCGTTGAAGCGTTTTTTAAAATTAGAAATATTTTTTGTAGTAGAACAGATTCCAAAATCGATGAAAATTTAAAAAAATCTGCAAATGAAAAAAATATTGATTTTAATAATTACAAAGAATATTTTTATTCTGAGAAAGATAACGAACAACTCAAACTTGCAGATAATCAAGTAAATTATAAACAAGATAATAAATATAATCATTACGAAGAAAATATCTCTTACAATGATGCAAAGGAATGTTATAAGCCAGAAGACAAAAGCAATGATTATAAAACGAAAGAATCTATCAAAGATACAAAAAATAAAGATATTTACAAATCTGATGATACACATGGCCAATCTAAAATCAAAGGACATATAGACACAGAGGTTTCTGTTATAAATTCTAAGATTAATGATTTTGAAGATGCTGAAGATCTTGATTTATATAATAGATATGGTAGAAGAGTATTAAGTAATATCATGGTATTTATAAAGAATATACCTTGTTGCCTTTTATTAGTACTATTGATGGCTTTGGTGGACAGTTATTTTTATAAGGAATTAACATTTGTTCCTTTTGTATTTTTTAATGTAAATGTAAGGTGGTCAGTAAGTGAAGTGTTTGGCGAACAACACGTATTAAGTTACGTATGGTTTTTCATTGTTTTAACAGGTTTTACTGGTACATTTTTATTTTTGAATTTTAACGCCAATCAAAATATTGCTATATCTGTTTTAATTTATTTAATATTTTATTCTGCATTAAAGCATAAAGAAATGCGGTTTATTGTCCCTGTTATACCTTTTTGTAATCTTTTATGTGCTATAGGTATTAATAAAATGTCTTACAGAAATACGGGTGGTATAAATTATATACGTAAAAAGTTATACTCCGGTGTTTTATATGTTGGTCTTTATATAACATTTTTTATAGGACTTTATATCGGATTGGTACATCAAAATACTTTTGATATTAGTTTTTTTATGAAAACAGAAGTCGAAAAAATACTGACAGAAAGTTTTTTTGCAGCCAATACAGATTTGAATTTCTACAAGAATAAAAATATAAAGAATTCGGAAAGACATAAAATCGAAATATCTGTTGATTTCCAAAATGTATTGGGTAAAAATATATCTGTGGTCCAAAATACAAAAAATATTGAAATACTTTATTTTGTCTGTCCATATTCTTTACCAGTATATTCTTTTATTTGCTATGAAAATGTAAATATAAAAAGCGTTTCTAGAAATCCTGACATAACAGTTAAAATGAAAGATTTAGTTGTCTGTAAAAGATTTGATGGGCAAAAAATTATTTTCTATGAATATGAAATGTATATGGATTTATTGGAAGCCACAAGTGAAAGTTATAAAACGCAATTGGAAAGCAAAAAGGATAAAAATAATAAAATAGATAATGACAAAATTGTAGATGAA